AGACAACCCCGTAACAATATGCGTTTTGTACTGCTGTTACACAGCACAAAACGCATAATAAAATGTGATGCGGCGGAAAAAAGGAGGCAAATTTCTTTAATTAACGTTTTCTGCGCGAAATCCAAGTGGGGATCAAAAGCGGCAATCACTTCGTTCCAGTTTTCTAAGAAATTATCCTCTGTTAAGTGTAAAAGTACAAACCCATGCTGTCTCCTCCCTATGTGAAATATCTTTTGGACAATCAACTGAATTTTGTGCAAAAATTGGGCTCGACAGACATTATTGAGGTTTATACGCTGACCGCACTATTGAAAAACATACTACAATCATGGTGTCTCAACTGTCATACTAACGAGGTCCAGTTTTGGCGCCGGAAAAGAATGTACCCGTCTTAATGGGCCGAAACATTCCTGTTCAAATTTAATTCTTCCCACATTACCCATTTTCTCCACCACTTGCTTTTTTAATTTGACTCTTTTCTTAGCTAATGATTTACAAATACTAATTACTAAGGTGCCATACTACCACTACGCTAACAGTATGTTCCGCCAACATTTAAAAAAAAAAGCAACAGGTAGCGTTCAGGCGCTCAGAACTGGCTACTTTTAAGAAAAATATGGAAGGCTTGAGGGTGATTTTGATGACTTATGTAAAGCTAAACTTTTAAAAATACCTTCGGGCAAGTTTTGGTGCAGTTCAAAATTGTATGACATTTGAATGCGCTGAAATGATCGTGAATCTTTGACAGTCGTTCATTGGCATAATCGTCTCGAGAATCGATTATCCATCTAAAAGATATGTCTAGTCCAAAATTTTAAATCTAAATTTTTTATAAATCTTAGGCTAACTGTTAATCTTAAGTGTGCTTAAGCATTAACTTTCATATAATGTACTGGACGTACTTTTGCAAAGGTAGTCTTTCAGCAAATAAGTATTGACTTAGAAAAGGTGGATGGCAATGGGGGAGGGGAAGGAGAGGGGGAGAAGAGGAGGAGGAGGGCAGGGGATGGGAAAGAGGGGAAGACGGGGGGAGAAAGGAACTGAACCTCTCGCATTCGAACACACATTGCACTAGCGGTCCCCACGCCCCGTGAGTATACGTTAACTTATGTTAACCATTCCCTTACACGGAATTTACTGGACATCCCCGCCACAGAGGTGCCTTCGGACTTCAGCGGACGTGCACCTCGCCGTAGAATGTGTTTGCCGGCTTGTCTGGCCTCTTCCTATCCGATGTTCCTTTTCGCCGATGGCGCCCGTTTTACAAAAAGTGTGGATCAGGAGAGAATCGAACTTTCTGTTTTCAAACCCAAAAGCGAATACTACAGCATCGGTGTGTATATTTTAACTTATAACAACACATCCAAACATATTTTAACTAATCTTTTCCCAAGAACTTTCGCTACACCACCCAAGTAAAGCGACGCACTACAGTTATAATTCACTATATCATCGAATAGATATCCAAGACTTAAAAATCGGAAAATTAAAAGTTACGCCACTCATGAAAATTAGGGTTTGCCAAAAAAATAAATGACCTGTAAGACTGTAGAAGAATGGCCGGCCCAAGATATTTGTCTGCATTCCACCAGTAGGATGGGCAGCTCGTGCTGCAGCAAGCACAAAGAATGCATTCATACAAGCCATCCTGAAAAACAAC